CCTGCCACAGGTGGCAAGGAATGAGGAGAAGGAGGACAGTGTTGCTCCCTAATCTACACCACCACACAGCAAACAAGAGACACTCACTCTCCTGTGGTTGCACACCCTAGGACCGGCTCACCTACAACTCCCACATCCAGGCCCAGTGCTACTATGCTGCTCAAGTGTGGTGCAGGGCCTGTTCTCCCGAGTGCTGCAGTAGGTAAGGGACAGGTCAAGCTTTCCCACACTGATGACATCCAGGCTAGGTCTCCTTCCTGTTGTAAGTGGCAAGGTTGTGAGAGGTGAAAGGATTCTCTACCTTGCCAGTGTCACTACATGGCAGAAAAGGGATGGGGTCATCTCTTCCATGATTTTGTCCTTGGGCTGGTTCACCACCAGTATAAGCTTTACTGTGCTGCCCAGGCGAGGTACAGAGGTCACTCTTGTGAGTGCTGCAGCTGGTGAGGGGCAGAGACAGCTCTCCTGCTCTCGTGACCCCAGGGGCAGGTCTTCCACTTGCCACAGGTAATAAGGGGTGAGGGGAAGGGAAGCATCTCTTTCTTGTCCATGGCGTCTCGTGGGAGACAAGTCCCCCGCTCATACCCTCCGGGCCGGCTCGCCTGCAAGTCCTGTAACGTGCAGAGACTGCTTTCTCAAGCACTGCAGCTGGCTAGTGGGCAGACTCAGCTCCCCTGCTCTCACACACCCAGGGGCAGCTCTTCCACAACGGCCAGGTGAGGGGTGGGGCCAGTTCTGCATAGCTCTCAGACATGAGCATGTTCCTGGGCAGCATCCCAGACCAGGGACATTGCCTGACCTTTGGTGGTAACAGACCCAAGCTGCTGCAGGGTCATGGACTCAAACATGGCCCCCAGTGGCAGCACAGGCCCGGACCCCACCATGCTCCCTGGTGGCATCACCACTTACTCACATTAGGCTGTTCTTCCCTACCTTCAAGTCTCCAGTTTTGTCTCTCTTCATTGTACCCATATCCTTCTGTTTCTGTTTCTCTTCCATTTCTCCACCACATGCTTGCTTCTCTTAGTGGTGCCTAGGTTATGTCTTATGTCAAGCAAGGGACATTTTGGGCATGGTCTGCCCCCTCAGGCCTTTGTGGTGTCAGACTAGTGGTCATCTCATGTTCTTTCCAGGGATTAGTCTACTAATCATACATATGTTCACAGGTCAGAACATAGCCTCTCTCCTTTCTGCCACCTACTGACACACATGTGATACAGCAGACACACCTGCAGTGCCTCTGGGGACAGTGGTTACCTGTCTTTTTACATGAGTGCTGAGGATTAGAACCTGTGCAACATGTGCTTTTACTCACCAACCTATCCCCTTAATATCTCAGATGACGGTCAGGTGCTGTGTCGGTTTGAATAGGAATGGTCCCCATAGACTTATGTGTTTGAATGCTTGGTCCATAGTGATTGCACTATTAGGAGGTGTGTCCTTGTTAGAGTAGATGTAGCTTTGTTGGAGGAAGTATGTCATTGTGGGGGAGGGTTTTGAAGTCTCATATGATCAAGCTATGCCTAGTGTGGCATTCCTTTTCCTGCTGTCTGCTGATCTAGAGTAGAACTCTCAGCTCCTCCAGCACCATGTCTGCCTGCATGCCATCATGCTTTCTGCCATGATGATAATGGACTAAACCTCTGAACCTATAAGCCAGCCCCAATGAAATGTTTTCCTTTATAAGAGTTGCTATGGTCATGGTGTCTCTTCATAGCAATAGAAACCCTAAGACAGGTGCTATAAATTGATTCAAGAGGAATTTGCATCTGTTACTGTGAGCATATTGAATAGAATCTATTGCTTATGTCCATATAATTTACATAAGAGATTGCTTTTACTGTATATGCGTAAAAACTGTGGTTTGTCCTTTTGCTCGCCAGTAGTTAATCTGCTACATTTTGTTTATATACAGCATATGGGATCTAAGGATTCTTAGTCACAAGATCAAAATTACTATATTTTCTCTAAGAACAAATCTTAACCAATGCTGCCTGACACTATAACTTGTCAATTTTTGATTATGGAAAATGTTCCTATAGTAATTGATAAGGCAAATCAGTTTCAATTATGAGAATGAACAGGTTTCTCTGTTTTCATTCCTGAATGAATGATTGTGTTTAATCCTATCCGCCCTTTCTACTACCTTACCTTTCTCTACTCCCCATACAGATTGTCCCTCTTGGTCCACTTCAACATTTCCTGTGTATGAGAGAGAATGCAACTTGACATGATCCCTGGGTCTTTCTACTCTCTGCAAATGCCATGACACTGTTTTCTTCTTCATGGCTAAATATTCCATTATGAATGTATCATACGTTCTTTATTCATGCTTCTCTTGGACAGCTAGGCCAATTCTGTGTCTATAAAATTATGAATATTGCCTTGATTAACATGGTATGCACATTATTGTAATTCTGAATTTCCTCAGGAATGCACAGGAATAATCCAGCTTGGTCGTATAGTAGTCCACTTTTTAATTTTCATGGAACTTCTATAAGTCCATGAAAACTTCTTAGAAGAAGAAATTTTCTTTTAAGTTCTTGTTAACTAAGTTCTAAGTTCTAAGTTAACTTCTTCTAAGTCTTTGTGGTTGTTTGAATAGGTTCCCATACACTCATGTGTGTGGATGCTTGGCTTATAGGGAGTGGCACTATTGTAGAGAGAATATCTTGTGTACTGTATGGATGCGTCACCTGTCAATTAAAACAAAACAAAACAAAACAAAATAAAACAAAACAAAATAAAACATATGGCCTATAGGAAAGAGGGGAATAGAAGGTAGGACATCAACTAGGCAGAAAGAGTTGTGGAATAGAGCGAGGTGGGAAGATTTGTAGGGGAAAAGGTGAGGAGAACAGACCCATGGTACCTCAGTCGAGGTAACTAGTCATGTGGCAGAATATAGATTAGCATAAATGGGTTATTTTAAGTTATTAATTAGGGAACAAGCCTGGCTATATGGTAAATATATTTTGAGTCTGAGTTGTTATTCTGGGAGCTTGGGGCCAAGGCAAATGCACATTATTAGGAGGTCTGAAATGCACATTATTAGAAGGTCTGATCTTAATAGAGTAGGTCTAGCCTTGTTGGAGGAAGTACATCAGTGTGGGCAGGCTTTGAGGTCTCATATGCTTGAGCGATGCCCAGTGTGGCCCACATCTTCCCTTCTGCTGCCTGCAGTTCAAGATGTAGAACTCTCATCTTCTCTAGCACTGTGTTTGCCTGCATGCCTCCCTGCTTCTCACCATGACTATATTGGAGTAAAACTCTGAAGCTGTAAACCAACCCTAATTAAATGTTTTCTTTTATAAGAGTAGCTGTGGTCATGGCGTCTCTTCACGACAATAAAATTCTAACTAAAACAGTACTATAGAACTAGGCTAGTTTAAATTTCCACCACGAGCAAACCAGTCTTCTTTGCCTGCATTTTGACAGCACTTTTTATTTTTCTTATAAAAGTTTCATCCTTTTGGGTGGCTTGCTCCATAAACCATGTGTTCCTCATTCCACAAACTCTACACTTACCATATCCTAGCATAATAAAACTTAATGATTAACACCACCAGACACATAAATAATATACCCCTTTGCACAGATTTAAAAAAAAATTTAACCACCAACCACTTTGGGAAGACCAAAAGCCATGGGTTTTATGGAGGCCAGTTTCCCTGATCCTCTGCCTCTGGTGCTTTCTGCCTACTGAGCACTCTGCTGTCTCTGGGCTGGTCCCGGGGCTTCATAAGTACCACAATCCTTCTGTTAGCTCATACGAAGCAATGGAGCCTTCTTTAAAGTCTCCTTTGGGCAAGCTCTAACAAATGAAATACCCAACTCCCTAGCAAAGAGCTCTTTCCTAGAATCAACCAGTATTTCTGCACCCCGCTCCCCGACCCCCTCAGCTTCACTCTGTCTCTCAGTCTCTCTGCCTCACATACCCCTGTCTCCTGGAAAGGAAACATTCAGTATTGCAATACAAATAAGCAAGCTATAATGCTTCCTTTTCATCTCAGAGTCAAGAGTTCGACAAACTTCAGTTAGCACAGAAGCTGTCCATTAGTCATAATGAAAGCAACCAAAGAAAGTGCTTTAGACAAAACAGTAGACAAAAGAGGGTAAGAGAAGAGAATTTTTTATTTTTGTATGCTTTCAAATGGCAAAGTGGATAAAAATAATGATTTAATATTATAACTGGGTAATTTCAATCCTCAAGATTTTTTTATGACTCTAATTTAGCTATTGATGGGTGAAGATTGATAATATACATGGTCAAATCATTCCTTATCCTTTGTCATTATTCAATCAGCAATTCGTTCACTAAGTATTAGGCCCCTGTCATATTCCTGAAGCTGGGCATACAACCCAAACCAAAAGCAAAGCTAGGACATGCTCTTGTGAATTTTACATTTCAGATCCTGAAAACAATGGTGCTTGGCATTCAGAGTGCCCATTCTATTTCGTCAACATTTCCCAAAGGACAGTACTAAATAAAGGCTAGATGAGCACCAGGCCTGAAACTTCTCAACGGTCGTTGCACCTCTAAACCGAAGATTTATGGTTGCCTAGCCATCTCTGGCTGTGCAGACTTACACAAGTTACTTAGCACTCATGTTCCCCTGTCAGTGAAAATGACCACTAGAGTTTTGTTTTGGTTTTGTTTTTGTTAACGGGAGATGTGTGTTAATTATTCAGCAGTTAGTGTAGTTGCTGTCCTCCTCTTGCCCAACAGAATCACCTGCGGGAATTTGTCCTGGCTGCACACAATCAAATCTTAAAATCTGAGCGTGGAATACAGAGTTCAGGGACACTGTTTGGTGGTTCAAATTTGCAGACAGGTCTGAGAATCAACCTTGCAGTCGGGATTCTAGACTTTCCCTAGCCATCTTTACACTTGGTAGAATCACGGTGCATCTGTGGATAACCAAATTCTTAGGACCGAGATGCACACATCTGGGTCTTGAACTGTATGTATCTTGAATACAAATATTTCCCACTTATCTAGAATGGGGCCCGTGGCTGTGTTGTGCTTAGCTGCCTGTGTGTGACTGTCAAATTTGTAAGGACTGCCAGTGCTGCCTTAGCACGGCCTGCCCGGAGGGATAGAGGGAAGAGCAGGAAGAGCGCTGCCTTGGGGCGCTGGGCCCGGGCTGGGAAGACAGGCTTGTTGGCTCCCTCCGCGATCAGCACCCGAGGCCACCTTCCCTGAGTTCGCTCGGCGCGTTTCCTCGCCCAGCCCGACCCGTGATCGCGGCCTAGGGCCGGTGTTGGCGTCTTGCTCTCGGTTCCCATCTGCACCTTGAGCTTCTGCGCTCTGCTCGCTATGGAGCCCGGGCCGTGCAGCAGGCCCGCTGAGCCTGGGCATTGCGTGAGCGGCCCGGCGGGAGCGGACTCAGCGTTCCCGGCGTCCCCATTGTCCCCTGCCGGGGCGGAGCCCGGGAGTCGCCCTGGAACCGTGGCCGCCGTGCTGCCGGCTGGGGGTTGCGGGGAAAGGATGGGCGTCCGCACCCCGAAGCAGTTCTGCCGGGTTCTGGAGAGGCCGCTCATCAGCTACACTCTGCAGGCCATGGAGAGGTAACTGGCGCCGGCCATCTGCTCCCCAGAGCCCAGGATCATTCCTACAGGCGGCGTGGCGGGGAGCGCCGGGCCTGGGGCCCTGGCTAACCAGGGCATTGGGACCACTGGGACTTTAGGTTCCATCGCAGGCCCAGTGGGGCCGAGGAATCGCTGCTCTAGCAGCGCCTTGGGCACAATGCCACTACGCATGCGTGCATCGGAGAGTCCTAGCCGCACCTCCAGTTTCCTGAGCACACACTTTTCTTCTGGGAGTCAGGCCTGGCTAAATAACCAGGTAGCAGAGAGAAGGGGCAGGGTTAATGCCAGCCCTTCAGTAATGGGAAGGGATTGGATGGTGAGGTTGAGGCCAAGACCCCCTAGAAAAGACACTGAAGTTAATTAATTCCAGAAATAATGAGCAGTGTCAAGAAGGCTGTGAAGAAACTGTGAGAGGAGAAAAAGATGCGTCATTTGTGTTGTGATGTAGCCGAGGTGAGACTGGAAGGGAGGATTATAAAGGTGCTCAAGTGATGTAGGATCTATCTTTACGTCTTTGAAGTCAGATGGACAGCTATGGTGGCGCCTTAAACCTTGAATCAGACTGGTTACATTTCAAGAGAGATGCCAATATTTAGCATAAGTAACGATTACAGGAGACTTCCATAGAAACCACTGTCCTTGGCATTTTGTTCAGAAGAACAATTCCCAACATACTTCAAAAAGTCAAAGGGATAAAGTAATTTCTCACGAGATTATTTTACTTTCTGAGTATCGGCGTTTGGTAACTGGAAGTGTAAAGGGCTACAATCATCCTTGATTAGAGTAATCAAGACCAGTGGTTACATCCGAAACTCAGACCTGGAAACGATTCCAGTTACCACCCCTGTCTGTGTATTTTATTTCTCTGGATAGTACAGAGGTTGCTTCATACAGCCATCCTGTCAACAGCCCACACCTCCAATGTTCTAGCACCACAGTCGTCCTGGCAACGCTGTTCATCTTTCTGGGAATGGGCAATGGCGTGGCTTGTAATGGATGTTGGCAGTGGATCTTTGTTTGCTTGAGTTATATGCAGATATGCAGGGCGTTGTAGACTGGTTTTCATTTAACACCATTTCCCTTGGGGAATGCTTTCTAGCCTTCTATTAATTTGCCTTTTTTTTTTCTTGCATGTACTAAGGTAGCCTGAGATAGGTGAACACTAAAAATTAAATTAAATTTTTTTTAATGTACAAGAATGTTTGGTAAGAGTTTATTTGTGGAAAATACAGCGAAAGGACATTTGTTTTCCATTTTTGCTTAATTGATGACAGCAGTTTGAATTCCTAATACTAGGAAAATTGGAATAAATTATAACAGGTTACAACTCAGGGAAAGTTCATTATGCTTGCTTTTGTTTATTTGTTTGTTTGACTAACAAGGAACTGAGATCAGGAGTCTTAGTCCCTCATGCTTCATGGCATGACTATCAATGAGGAAGTTTGTTTTGTTTCAGGAAACCATATGACAAAAGTATTGTGTAGTCTACGGCACAAAACTCTGTGTAAAGGCCAAGTTCAGTTGATTAACCTATGTACCCAATGTCTACTGTTTAGAAAAAGGGTCTGCCTGGATTTGAAGTTGGAAATTGTTTTATCCCTCATAGTCCCTGACTGGGGGCCCACAAAAGTCTAGCGGCATGGTTCCCGCAATGGAGTGACCCGGAACCTTTTTGCAATGGGACTGGTTAAAAATTCCACAAAAAGAAGCAGCAGGCACTTCACTGATGAGTCAAAACATATGTTTGAGGAACATACAGAATGTTGTTGTTCGTCTTTCTGACAGAGAAGAGGCAGGGTATATCTTGCATGAGGAGGTTATAGGATGGAATTGACAGTTTAATGAACTTTTAGGTCAGGACTGTGGCCAGTGTTTAAACCTGGGAATGTTTAAGATGTTGACTGGGGCTAAAGTCTGCTGGGAAAAACTTGCAACTAGCTAGGTCACAGAGGGGTTAAGGCGTTGTTGTTGTTTTTTTGTCTTTTTTTGTTTTTGTTTTTTTGTTTTTTGAGACAGGGTTTCTCTGTGTAGCCCTGGCTGTCCTGAAACTCACTCTTAGACCAGGCTGGCCTTGAACTCAGAAATCCGCCTGCCTCTGCCTCCCAAGTGCTGGGATTAAAGGCGTGTGCCACCACTGCCCGGCTTGTTATTGTTTTTTTAAGATACAAAAAATGGGCTTGGTGACTAGGGGACCATAGAAATAAAAATTCTTACCAGTAATCTGATTTCTGATATTTAAGAAAAGAATGCTACGTTAGAAGCGTAGGTTAGTATGGAATATCTTTTAAATGAGCACACAAGAGCAAACAAATGAGGTGAACCTCAGCTGTGCTATTTTGATTGGGCTCCTCTTCCTCAGTCAGCACGTGTGCTTTGATGGCACTTTCCTACAACTCTTGAGGTTTCCTGAGCTCTCTTAGGTGGAAGACGCTGCCTAAGATAACTTGTTCCTTGATATGATTCATGCTTATCCAAACATTCTAACTGGGCCTCTGATTTCTTTACAGGAAGATGGTCCTGTATAGCAATACACTAGCAATCCAACTCTCTGCTCACTATCAATAGTTTTGTTAGAGTGGATTAGTCTTATACCTTTAGTTCAATGGTAGGACAGATTAATTTGATTCATTAAAAGGTTATGTCTAAGTGAAAGGGAGAAGAAAAGCTGTTGTGTTTTGTGAAGGTTACAGGATAGAGCTTTGTATTGCCTCCCATTTGAGAGTTTCAAAAACAGGCGAAGACCATTGGCTCTGAGGCTCCCAGAACAGCACCAAAGTAAGAACACTCACTGTGGCTAAGGAAATAGCAACCCATCTCACTAACTCAACATTTTGTCCTAAAACATCAAAATGGGTACAAAGTGGTGGGATTCTGTAGACAAGGCTCCAATGCAATTCAGAGTCAAGTTTCCATGAAGGCAGCCATGGTAGAGAGCAGCAGCTGCCACTGTCCCTTTAAGGCTGCATTTCTGCAGCCTGGATGAGAGTGTTCTGTAGGTGTTAACTAACTTGATTGTCCCCAGGTTTGTAAGTAAGCATTTGTGTAAATGTTCTGCTTTCAACTGGCTTTATTAAACTGTCTGAGCACAGCATGCTTGTAACCTTATTCCAGGAGAAAATAACTTCTGAGATATTATATTTCCTCCTCAAAATGTCTGTAGGTGTTATGGAGCTTGGGGCTACGTTTATATTTGCTCTGGAATGTGCCAGGAAGGAAACAATCATGCGGATTTGATAGAATTGGGCTGCCGGGGGTTTGGTGTGGACTTGTTTTCAGCTCAGAGGTAGGCTAGATGCTTCTATTCAGCAAGTATTTACTCAGCGTGCACTGTGTGAGGTACTTAAGGTCTTTTACAGTCTCATGATTTTACATTATTAAAAGTCTTCTGCAGAATTAAAGTTTAATTCTATGATTTGAAAAGAATGTGAATAAATCCTTTGGAATACAAACAGTACTTAACAAAAGCTTGCAGGTCCTGGGTGTATCCTGGGTTTGAACAAAATAGCATTGTAAGCCCACTACTGCTTGAGTGGTATGAAGTTGTGTTTTCTAAACTTTTATTTATTTTTTTTTTATTTTGAGGAAAATTTCCCCATTTTACACTATGCACTTTATTCTCATTTTTATTTAGCCTACTCAATAATACTGAATTTAACTTAATAGGAAGCTGTGATGATGCAGAATGGTTCCTGTAGCACACACATTGAAAAACGGTGGTTTAAGTCATTTTAAAGCTGGCCATGGTGGGTCACACCTATAGATCTATCAGTCAGGAGTCAGATGTAGGAAGATTGGTGTTTGAGACCAGCTTGGGGTAGGTAGTACATTCCAGGGCAACCTGTATTAGACACTGTCTCACCAACAGTAATGCCCACTCCCCAAACTCCAGACCCATCATAAATTGAACTTAATACACTGTGGCTACAGAGATGGCTCAGTGGTTAAGAGCACTTTTTGCTCTCGCAGAGGATTCAGGTTCAGTTTCTAGCACCAACGTGGCAGATCACAAACATCTGTGCCTGTCTTGTAGTCTCCCTGGACTATATGTGTATCGTGCACATACATATGTGCACACAAAACACACATACATTTAATGAAGCTAATACAATCGCCTGGAAATGATCTAAAGCTACAGCTCTAGCTGTTTATGGTTACTTACAGCTAATTTAATTCATTTAAAACAGAAGGAATCATTGAACAGATATTTGAATGCTTATGTTCCATGTTAGCCTTTCATTTTTCTTCTTGCTTCTTTTGTATTTTAGTTGACTATAGTTTTTCATTAAACCTTTAAAAGTTATCTCAACTGAATTCTCTGGAAGAACATACAGTAGAAACTATCAAGGGCAATCAGCTTAGGAATCAACTTCACCTCTTGCTTTACACAAAAATTCTGCCACTGATGTAGCTGAATATTTATTAAAATTCTTCTGTAATAAAAAACAGGTAACATGGGACTACATTAAATAATCAACACATTTTATGGTTTTTTATAATTTCTCTCTCTCTTTTTTCTTCCTTCTTTCTTTCCTTCTTCCTTCTCATAATCCTTTTCTTCCTCTTCCTCCTCCTCCTCTTCCCCCTCTTCTTCCTCCTCCTCCTCCTCCTCCTCCTCCTCCTCCTCCTCCTCCTCCTCCTTCTCCTTCTCCTCCTCTACTTCTTCCTCTTCCTCCTCCACCACCTCCTCTTGCCTTGCATAAGAGAGGGCATATGCTAGATGCTTGGTCAACATTGGCTGAATATACCAGTAAGTAAATGAAAGAAAGCTTTCCTTTGTTAGAGTTATTAGAAATTACAGGAAATTGACTGTTTTACTGTAAAGGCAACCATGCCACATGTTTCAACCCTGGTCATAGAAATGAAGTGTTAGATGCAGAATAATACAGAATGACATTTTCTCTCCTAGATGTTAGACTTTCCCTCTGAGTCAGTGTGGATACATTTATACAGGTTAACAAAGCTCCAAAGTCAGAGTGGGTTTATCCCAGTCCTTTCATTTTCTCCTGGTGTGACCATGGGTAGGTTATTACCTTTGTGTCTTCAAGCATAAGATTGAGACCATAACAATGTATCCCAAAGGGCTGTGTGTAGAGATATTGTATGCGAAATCCTCAATACAGCCCATAGACACTAGCAAAGATTCCATATTTTTTTACTGTTTCTATAACTAATATTACTGAATGGAACATATGTGCCATGTCCTGGGATGTGGTCTTTCTGAGACCAGAAGCCTAATGAGAGAATATAAAATTACAGACTGCAGCATGGCACGTAGTAACCTTTGGGAGATGAGTCTTTTGGAAGTGGAAGGAATGGAGATTGCACTCAACTTTATGATCAAAGAAGGTTCCAGGATTGGGCCTGTGTCTTGACCTGGGGAGCAAGTAAGGCTCAGAAATGGGTTAGTAGGCTAGGGAGAGAAGGAAGGGCACTATTGAGAAACAATAGAGTGCCACAGAGACATACTAGTAAGACGATATATTGCCCTCTATATTGGTTTTCCCAACAGTGCGAGAGGGTGAATTTAAGTGAGGAGAAGCTTGATTTTACAGGATATGCAACCTGTTATGTGGGGAGGGCAGTGGAAGTGGATTGGCAGAGATAACAGACAACAGAACGTAGGCTGGACGTTGCCCTGATTTTAACTTTCAAAGGCCCTGTGACTCACTGATGCTAGCCATGCCTCTTGCCCCTGAAGATCCCATGATATCTTAAAATAGCATTCCCAGCTGGGGATCCAGTCTTCAAATACATTAGCCTGTGTGGGCATCTCAGACCCACACTACTTTCCTATCAGGAAGAAGGTCACGGCAGAGGGAAGGCCTATGTATTTATGGGACTGTGAGGGGGCAGTAAGTTCTACACAGGACTGGGCAAACTTGTAGTATGTCCCTAGGGTTTGAACTTGACAGGGATCATCTAGAAGTAGCAAGGATAAACTGTGCTGGGATAAGATGAGACAGTTAAGACCGCATTCGTGAAGTATCAAACATGAGAGATTACAAGAATGAGGATTTAAGAACTACACACTGAGGGGTAGGGTGGCGACTGCAGAGTGGTGGTTTTCCAGTTGCTATAACCTTTGCGAATAGTATAATTTCCGCATTTCCAAGGTGGGGTAAGTTCTAGAATTGTCAAGGATGACATTGGTATATGGGATGAGCTAAGCAAACCAAAGAAAAATATACAAGTAATCTCATCATGTAGTTTTTAATCACTTGGAAAGACTATGGATTGCACAGGGGCACTTTATATTATCGCATTGTTTTCATTATTGAAGTCTTCTTGAAATGTTTGAGAAAATATAAAAGTAATTGAGTACCTCCAAGGAGTCCTAGGCTATAAGGTTAAAAGCAAGAAAACCAGCTCATAAGTGTAAGATGTTACACTATGGACAGTTTATTTATTCAACAAACACTTATTGAACACCTGATAAGAGTTTTGTATGAAGCAATGTACAAGGCAGATACATGTGCTGCCATAGAGCCCATACTCCAGAGGATGAATCAAAAGAAAAGAACAAAAAATAATGCTGTTTTATCAATGAAAAAGTGATATTTTTCAATCTTATGTTCATACATTTTGAATAAAATTGAAATATAGAAAGGTATATATTCTATATTATGAAAGATAGTAAAGGAATTATATGAATCTTGCATAACTTAAAGATATATATTCTATAAATTATCATGTAAATGTCTTCTGAAAAATACTACCCTATAAGAGACAGTGTAGTGTGTATGTGAACATCATACAGGTTACAAAATGAGATGTCCTTTATGTATGTTAAGTGCATTTCTTGTTATCTCTCATTTTGAACTTTACTTTCAGGACTTAGTTATTCTAGCATGAATGTATAAGGATTCATAGGCTCATAACTTTACTTATTTTTCTTATTTTAAATTGAATTTTGTAGTTGGCATATAAAATATTAGCAATTTTAAGTGACTTTTACTCTGAATTGACTGATACTGTCATTTGTACATTGTCATTTGAACTGGCATTTGTCCGGGTTTTGGCCCCTGGGAACATGGAGGTCTCTAGTGTCACTTGCTGGCTAGTACTGCTATCTGTTAAACTTGATTGATTCCAGAGCCAGTATGGACTATGATTAGTCTGGCGGAGGTCTGTATGAGATCAACTACCTAGTTTTAATATTTGTGTGGTTGGTTGCAGCATCACACAACATCTTGAAATAACTTGCAGAACTCAATAATGTTTTATATTGTTCTTACCCTACTACAGGATAAAATAATAGGAAAAAATATAAATTTCAAAGCATAAAACTTAAAAGCATGTCTTCATGTAATTGTTCCCACTTAGAGACAGTTGAATATATTTCTATCAAAATTCAGCAAAGTAACCACAGCATCACGTTTGCTCCTCACCCATTACCAGTGTCAAACGCTCACCCCATGTTCCTTAGCTGCTAGGACAATTTTTTTCTTTTGTATGTTTTATCAGACAATTTACAGAATTCAATTTGTTCAAATTTAATCGAAGTGAAAAATTTCATGTCTCTAATATATGGGATAGCATGTTTTATATGCTATTCCATGTAAGATACATACAGTGTAAAAAAATCTCACCTTTATTGATAGTGTGAAATGTTTACTGATTCCCAAACTTAATAAAAAAGCATAACAACTGAGCCTTTAGGATTAATCCCCCACTGTAGATCAATTGATACTGGAAATTCAAGTTTTTTTTTTTTTAATGAGCTTTAGAGTTCATTTATTTTAAATGTACCCATGCTTTCTTTGTAGAGTATGCTGGATAAAGGACATTGTTGTGACGGTGACAGGGGAGAACATGGAAGCAATGAGAAGTATCATCCAGAGGTATGGGCATAAGCGCATCTCACTAGCTGAGGCTGGAGTCACTCGCCACAGGTCAATTTTCAATGGACTCAAAGCCTTGGCAGAAGATCAGCCTGACTGTAAACTCACTAAGCCGGAAGTTGTGATTATCCATGATGCCGTGAGACCTTTTGTTGAGGAAGACATCCTCCTGAGAGTTGTCCTGGCAGCCAAGGAACATGGGGTGAGTGTTTGACACTGGTAATGGGTGAGGGGCAAACATGGTGGTGTGGTTACTTTACTGAATTTTGATAGAGATATATTCAACTGTCTTTAAGTGGGAACAATTGCATGAAGACATTACTTTAGGGCTGTCATAACATTGCAGACTGTGAGACATGGACTTCTTTTATTATATCATTTATCATATTGTGATATGAGCTATATACAGAAGAATAGACTAATGATATAACTAAAATATATACCTATTTTGTATTATGTTCATTCAGTCCTTCCTCGTTCCCTTATAGTTAGTTCTTCTTTTTCTCTTCATACTACCTGCATCAACATGTACATTTGTTTAACATATACATATATTACAGTCTAGATTCCACATATGAGAGAATATCTAGTTTATTTCTTCCCGAGATTGTAGATAATGGACATCAGTTGTAAAACAGGATGTAAAGCTAACTATTTTTCTAGTTCTGATTCTGTTCTCAAAATTTCTTTTTGGTTTTGGTGGTGGTTAAGTATATTTAGTACTGAAGCTGTAAAATTCAATGTATAGTTTCACAATTTCCATCTCAATGCCAATTCTAACTGCATGTACATTCATTAAGTTATATAGACTTTGGGTCTGGTTATTTTGTGTGTGTGATATTTTTACTTATTTAAAAAGTTTTCATAATGAAATTTATACACACACACACATACACACACACATACACAAATAGAACTTTAATGAGTGAAATTCATAAGCTGTTGTATTTCTGCATAAAAATCTGGCAGAAGTGCCAGATATGCACAATTAAAAAAAATCTGGCCCATGGAACTTGATTTTGTACCACGAGTCTGTCAGCAATGGCTTGTTTTCTAGAATGAATAGCCACCCATGACTTTTGCATCATTTACACTAGTCATTTGAAGAGGACATGATTGTCTTCCATTCTTTGTCACTTGGGTAAACACAGGCTGGGCAAATGTATGTTATAGCCATCTGTAGGACATGTTTAATCTTTTCTATTCATCAGGTAAACTTCTGTAAATATGCGCACAGACATCATACTGAAGCTTGCAGTCTATATTTGAGACGGGGAACACCATTGTGTGGCACTACTCCAAGGGAGATATGAACAAATGTCTATTCACCCCAAACAGGGAACCAATGACAGACTAAAGCAACGATACCACCTGTGGTGGTTTGAATAGGTTTGGCCACCATGGATACATGTGGTTGAGTGCTTGACCCATGGGAAATGGTACTACTAGGAGGTGTGGCCTTGTTGGAGGAAGTGTGATACTGTGGGGGCAGGCTTTAAGTTCATGCCATGCTTCCTGCAGTGATGATAATGGACTAAACTTCTGAATCTGTAAGCTAGCCCTAATTAAATGTTTGCCTTTGTAAGAGTAACCTTGGTCCTGGTGTCTCTTCACAGTTATAAAACCCTAAGTAAGATACCACCAAAGTCCAACTTGTTGAGCTAAGGATTTGAATTGGTGTTATTTAAAAAAATGTGGGTGAGTAGACTCCCAGGAGGTGCATCACTCAAAGCTACTCCAGCATGGGTGACAGCTCAGGAGAGCTGGAAACACTGCATAAGAGCTGGAAACACTGCATAACTCCACAGGTTGTTAAGTTAACACCAAGTTAACTAAGTTAACACTGCAGCTCAACAGGTTAGAGAGGGCCTTTCCCCAGGTTGCTCATTTGATCTCTGTTTCTTTCAGGCAGTTCAACTGGTCTCTTTTTCCAGATAGTTTCTTTCAAGCATGCTGTCTGATTTGCCTATTCTAGGGAGCCCCATCTGTCTGAGAGTCTTCTAGGCAACTTGAGTGTCTGCCTCTTTCAGTTGCTGCCCTACTCCTTACTATTTCTATAACCAGTGTGCTGGGGAGAAGCCTAGAGTCTCTGGTCAGTTTCAGAGACTTCCTGAAACCTCTAAGTTGTTTACTTCCTGAGGGTAATGCATTTCCCTCCAGGCTGTAAGTTTGTCTCTGTGGAAATGGCTACATAACATGCAGAGAGAGATAGTATAGTTTAATAGAACTAAGATGCTGTTTTTGTATTGGGAGGCCTTTTGGTAGTGTCTCAAGTGACAGATTATTTTTCTTGTTCTAATTAATATGCTGAGGATGTCATTGTTTTAATAAATAATTAATAAAGCAATTATTAAAGCCTATCAAAATGTATGGCAGGTAGTGTTTGTTAAGTATGTCTGTAAAAGTGTCTGATGGGAGCTGTGGTGGAATGGAGGGGTTGGAATCTTGTAGGTCGAGAGACTTAGCCAGACATTATCTCTAGCCAACTTTAGCCCCTGGGAGTAGCCATTCCTTGTTCATCTCTGTGCTGGAAGTAATATCCTGTGACTCATGGTAAAAAGCCTTTGGCATCTATTAATTTAGCAGAACACTAACTTCCACCAACCCCAAAGCCAAGATTGTCATCAGATAGCAACCATGGCTGATAGGAGAGCTTTCCCCATCTTGCTGTAATTTCCTCTGTGACATTTCCACTAGTACATTTGAAAAGTGTCTTGATTTATGACTTTCTCTGCTTTGTTACTATAAAAACTTTATGAAACTACTTCCATGTTGGAACATGAAATTTAAAGTAACCTAAATTTGTGTTCCCAGGCTATGATTAGTCAAATTTGGCTCCAGAATAAACTATCTTCTATTCCTATTGAGGTGAGAGCTATTTTTTTTTTGACAAACACTTGTGGCAATTCTTATTAAACTGTCATTTTCTTAAACTGTGACTCAAACTATTTTTAAAATTTAATCTCATATATATTTTAAAATCAACAACTTGTACTTTTAATGAAATCTGGGACTTTCTAATTACATTTAAAAGCATGATTCAGAACCAAAACTTTATGACATTAATTTTTGGAAAAGACATAATAAATATGGTTTCTTTGGAGACATTGTCTTGGTTTCGTAGATGGGAAAGGACGCTTTTCATGAATGGTAAAATCATGAGTTTCATATGTGTATTAAAGATTTTCTTCAATTTATTAATGATTAACTAGATGTTACAACTGGTTCAAATTTAAATCCAAAGAAAGACAAACTTCTATGCAATAAAAATCAGTTCTTAGATGAATTAATAGACAGACAAAGCCTGGATTTCCATGAGGGAGTCACTCAAACCACACTAGACAGACCATATTTTCATGTTTGCTTTAATTATCTGCAAGCTTTAAAATGATGATGAGCTGAAAGGCTACATTCAGATAATGTGGGAGGGTCTCTAAGGAACAGACTTTTCCACTGATGCAGTCAGTAACCTGCTTTTAAGGTGTCATAAGGATCTGGGAGTGCTTATAATATTGTCTTGGTAGCCCCAGTTATATGTAAATGGTACTTCCTGCCAATTTGGACTTGTAATCATGAAGACGCAAATACAGTTTAGATAAGAGTAGATGAATTTCTTCAAAGGTCATTCTATTGACCACTCACCTAGAGCTACTGTCTACATTCCAATTTAGTTTAAAAACTATCAATAGAGATAGGGTACTCCAAGCAACTAAGAATAAGCTTGGCTGCATACAGAATCTTGGAGGTGTTACCAGGATCCAGTTTGTCTCTGTATAGTTATATTCTCAAATTCCACGTGTAGACAAGATGGCTTCTATAAGCTCAGTGGCTAGATTCTTACAGGACTATCATACTGTTAATGGTAATTTGGGTATAAAATATTAAGTGAATGTTTTTCTCCATTACCTTAAAAATAGATTATCTAATTCTTTCCTGTTTTCTTTTTTTCTCTGCCTTTGATAAGACTGCAAAAATAAAATTAGACTTTTAAAATTGTTTTCCCATGGAAATGGAGAGATGGTTTAGTGGTTAAGAGCATGTGTTATATGACGCTTTCAGAGGACATACCCTAGCATTCATGTCTTGTGACTCACAACACCTGTAGCCCAGGCTTCAGTGGATTTAATGTCCTCTTCTGGCCTCTGCAGGTGCCTGTACTCATGTCCACACATCCACACTGACACATACATATGTGCACACATCATTAACAAAAGATGTGACAAGTACATTGTTGCTATTCTCTTGAAAGATGCTCATATCTTTTTTCTCATAATTTTTCAGTGTATAGGATGTGCCTGGGTATGAGTTTCTTTCCTTTCTTCCTTTGTGTTTTTTATTATTTATGAAACTGGATTTCATATATGTATTCTAGGAAATTCTGAATCATTGTCTGGTTATTCTCTGCCACATTTTCTATCTACATGTATTTTTTTTCTAGTGACATCTTTTTTATTATTAGTAACTTTTAAAAAAATGTTATTAAAAGGCTTTATAAGTTTGGTAATGCTCAATAACAAGATGCCCATACAATCAGAAGTGTAACCCAATAACCAACCTAGGTATACCAACTACCTTTAACTGGCGGAGACACTGGAACATCCGCCTCCATGTTCCTCTCTCTCTTTCTCATCTAGTTCCTCCTCTCCTTCTCCTCCTCTCCTTACTCTTCCTCTTCCTCTCCTTACTCCTTCCACCTTAGCTCCTCCTACATATCACCCTTACTGTTAAAACAAAAAAAAAACCTTTTCTCTCAAAATACAATTAGAGCATAACTATACCAATTTTTATCAGTAAGGTACAAGATAGACCTAATACCCAGTCCATCATTTTGTTGACTAAACAGAACCTCTGTTATCTCTCTTAACTAAAAGAATTAGTTCTGAACCTGGCTTTTTTCTTGGCTTTAGAATGAATGTCAGCTGAAAACCATCCTCTCAAGTCTTTTCTCTCTAAGTAAATAGCCGGGATTGGCTATGAGACTATAAATCTTCAACCCCGTCAGAAATCCAGAATGACTGAATTAACTGAAATTATGGAAAGCACAAAACATAGCTTCTAATACTTAGCCAATTTATAGAGACCACTGAACACCTGGACAGTCCCTGTACTACAAAATGTTGGAGCATCCGATCTTCAGCCTTCTGGCCCAGTATCATCTGACAGACCTAGTAATGCAGAATTATTAATGGCTGATTACTCTGT